GAGTGGGCGTCGGCTATCGAGATTCTGTCGCGTGTGGACGGAAGCGCAGAGAGCATCGCGTCCATCAGAGCGCTTATTGACGGCGTGGTGGAGAGCGCGGCAACCGACTTGTGAGATGGAGAACGTTAAGGCGGAATTTCTTTTTTTTGAATGATTTAGTTTACGAGCTTTTGCGAATTGAAGTCAGTTTTATTTACTTCCATTGGTCTGACAAGTATACATTTTAAGTCCTTTCCCCTCTCCTGTTATTTTATTTCTCCAAGCCGCAACAGTAGAGTAAGCAGAAATCACTGGCGTTACTCTGGAGGGATTCTGCTGGGAAACGAAGACAATGATGTGGACCATCATCTTCAGCACCTTGTGAAGTGTAAACGACTCGTAATCACTTGTCTGGCTTCGCGTGTTGTGGAAAAATTGTCGACAGATAAAATGCTGGCATTACTCAGCGTGAAATGTTAGGGCTTGAAAATTATGTAACGTTGTTTGTGGTATCGGGAAGCTGCCACGCTGAGTAGATGGAATTTCGGATTTGAAGCGCACGAAACCTTGTGCCATGGAGAAAACATGAAATTACGGTCGTTGGCATCAAATTCATCTAGATGAGAGTAACATTACCCCACGAATTCGACATCGATACGTTGTCTCCTTTGGTGACGAACTGTTCTCTGAAATATTTTCAGAGTTAGGGGGAGGGGCCGAGAAATAATAGTTATTCATGAACTAGATATCCGATACCTGTGCTACATTAATAAACTATACAAACGTTTCCAGTGTCGTCACCTTCGCGGTTAAATAAGCCTACTTTAGTATGGGATGTTACACCAACAATTTAGAGAAACAAATACCTTTCTGAAGTGCTGAAAAGTAAAGGAGGTAAAGTTTTACACGAGCCCCGGACGAGTCTGATTGACTTTGTTTTCCACCTCGCAAGGCTTTTACATCACATGGGCTTTGTTAAGGTTAGAGCTCGTCATACTTTCTTCTTTTATTGTGTTCTCTCTGTAAAATAATATTAAAGAAACACTGTACTTGTAATTCTATTATATCTTATCAAATGACTGGTTACGGCAGTTAGATACTGTGTCTAAGACTACCATATACAAACTTTAGCATAATACCTTATCGTTCCCACTACAGATTTCCCCGGCAAATCCACAAAGGTGGGACCAATAAATCGTCCGAGTTTACAAAGTTTACACAGGAAATCTGATCCAGGAAA